TCAGTGGGATGCCAGTTGTGAGTTGCAGAGTGATATGGCTGCTGACACTCAGACTTTCATTCAGTCAATGCACTGGATGGCCTGTAGACTGATCCTTCAAGCTTCTCTCTGGATCATTACTTCTTATTTCATTTATTTTCCAAAAGGGATCAAGTTAATTCTAATCATGCACGACTCATTTATACAAGTTTACCACTCTCAGAAACACATGGTGTGTTATCAGAGATAGTATTACTTTTGAAATTGGGTTATTCTGTAATTGTGGTCACTTTTGGTTTGAAAAAATATAAAGACATTAGAAAAGCTGTAGCCCTGAAACTGTACGGTCATACACTGTCTGCTCGGCTTAATTTTTTATTAGCTGCAAATACGTCTCAAAGGATAGCTTTATGGTTTTGACATAATTAAATGCAACAGAAAAGCTATTTTGTCTTTTTAGCTCCACTCTCGACGTCAAGTGCTTTTAACAAATACATCTCTTGCAAAGACATTTCTATATACCATTTGTATCACCTTGAGCAAATTAACAAAAATGTTTAACTGTGCATTAATACATTTGGGAATATGTTTCCAGCATCTTTCCCTTCTAAAAGATAAAATTATAGTAAATGGAGTTATTACTAATATCGAATGAATTCACCACTTAACTCTGCAAATAATCCTACCTAACAGCTTTAAACAACTCTTACAGAATATATGTCAGTTTGTGATTCTGTATACTTAGAAACGTACAATCTAGAGGTTTTGAGTTTGTCCTGCGCACTGGGCATTTATTGACAAATTCCTTAACGTTATTTCTACTTTACGACAAACTGAGAAATATTTTCCTCCGATTGGCAAGAACGAAAAGCCGCAAACTTTCCATGCATGATTCCACAAATTCACACTTCGGCCTGTTTTGGCTGTGAAACTAAAGCAAATCTAAGTTTCTAAGGGGTACACCCAAGGCTTAGTTCAGGGGTCAACAAGGAGAACAACATTCCCCAGGCCTTTTAGGGCTTTAGAGTAAAAAAGTCCTGAAGTGTTTTTACACAGATGGAAAGTTATACATTTCTGCAAGTTATCAGTGATGTACATTGGTTCACAGAATGAACAGTGAAACACAAACCAGAGGGCACGAGTGGAAACTACAAAGAAGTACACTTAAAACAAAAACAGGAGGCTCTTCTTTACCCAGAGGCTTGTTTCAGTATGAAACAATTTACACTGCCATGTTTTTGAAACCGATATACTGATTTCTTTCAAAAAAAGGTCTGGATGAGGTTCTTGGATTAATTAATTACTAACTGCCAAATGGGCTAGATGGGCCAAAAGACTTGAAACCTTTCTTATGTTCTTCTGTATTTAATCCTGAATATGGTGACTGGACTAAAAGGCCATTCACATTGATGCCACAGATTTTTGTGAATGCTCTGATTTGTTTAACGTTTTTTTCAGATCAGATACTAAATAATGCATAAAGAGCCATGTAAAAAAAAAATAATCCAAGGACTAAATAGTTCTTTAAATTGTTATTGATAAAATAGTCCTTTACCAAATGCAGACATAATTACACTACAAAACCGGAAATCCGTGTAACGCTATAAATGTAAACCATTTTAGACATTTAGCATCATCACGATGCTCCCAAAACATAACTGCTATTTATGATAGTGTTATAAAACGTACAAACGCCATTATTTTTGAACTGGGTAAGATATACCTTGAAATACAGTTCTTTTGTCTTTCAGACACCGTCTTTTGTACATCTGTACTTTTTCTTGGAATGCATTGATACCAATACAGCACCCAGATAGGGTTTACAATTAAGCAGACGGGTTTTTGGGAGGTTGGCTTACGTATACTGTACAGGTGAGAAACATACGGTGCAATGTTAGGCTAGGCAAACCTGCAGACCTGTTTTTGCGCACACATACTGTACATATTTTTGTCGGGAAATTAATTGGTTTCCATTGCATTTACGGGCATTTTGGGTGTTTCCTTTAAGAGTGCTAATATCGATACGTTTTTTTGGCTGATGGCTTATTATGTGATGCTAACTATTCAGCGCGCAGATGAATTATAAATCAGGTGTCAAGAGTATTTTTAGTTGCTCTTTCGGTCTTGGCACTCGCTGGATGCCTTTCAGGCTTTGCAAAATTGAGAAACGCTGCTTGCTTTGGATTTCATTACAGTCGACGTTTCCAGGAAAACCACAAGGGCGCATGAATGCATTCATTCTTTCGCTGGTTTTATGGAACCAGGCAGAACGGCAGCATCTTGCCGATTCGAGATGTCCACAACATGATGTTGCTCTACGTCCTGTGAAAAAGGTTCAGACACTCTAAATGGTGGAGGTATCCTGCTGCTTCGCGTCACTCTGTCACACTGGAGTTGGTGCAATCATGATCTCACACAGAGCATCGTGCTTTTTAATCTTTAAAAGAAAACAAAAAGATTAGAGAAATGTATTTTCCTGGACCTTCTCTAACCAGATCTGAATAAAATACATTGCAAATACATTGAAAGCATGCACATTGTATACAGTCACTGTACACATACAGTAAACAGGCATTTTCTTTACCGTCTTCGAATCGTGAATTTCAATGCGTTAAATGTTTACTAAATTGTCGACAAACCCCAGATTATGTTGGCTAGTAGTTTTTAACGGTATATTTTATTTTTTTTCCTGCCAAAGAAAATTAATAAAATGCTTCATATTAATCCCGGGGGTTTCCTATTTGGATTTTCCAAACGTCGGATACCGATATTAAATTTATACTGGCATGTAGTACAGTCTGAGGAATACATTGGTGATTCATTACTTGTATCTGTTAAACTAACGGGGAATACACGGGATTTTGTTAAAAATGTGATTAAAAAGGCACAGCTATGGATCACGTACTGTTAAAACTGGGAAAAATAGCTTCAACGAGTGCGCGCTCAGTGGCGACTTGCAGATTGCAGGATTTGTACCTCGTCTGTCACTGTCGGGTTTCCGTTGTACCAAAAACGGTTGTCGGCTGTTCTTTGGATTGGCAGCTACGGCACCAACTAGGCGAAAGCACGTTGTTTGCAAGGCGCTGGTCATGCAAATCAGCACAGGCGGCGCTGGCAGGGCTGTCTCAGCGTGCCGGGTGCTCAGGGTTTAATGAGTGGGTGACGTCAGTGGCAGGGATCTGGTTCTCCTCTCGCTGCCATGAGGAGATCAACGTGACTGCTGGTGGTGCACTGAGCAGCAAACCGATCTGCTACAGACACATTGTCAAACAGGTGCACGTGGATGGGCAGATGGAACCAACACGAAATAACACCGTGTCTGCATAGGTCCTACCCAGATAATATGTCGAGTAAACACTCAGGTCCCTGAGTAAACACTATTAAAATGCACACCACTGGGTGTCTGACTAGAAATCACAGCTTGTGTTAACCCATTGTGTATCATTCTCTATTGCATTTTTCTGTAGTCCATTCTGACATTTAGGTAGCAGTTTAGTGTTATTTACTCACCGGCTAGCTCTCCTCAAATATACATAATACAGACATTAACTAAAAACCGTGAAGAGTGGTGTTTCTGCCTTAAAGTGTAAATTGTGAAGTTGAGCAAGCTGTATTTTTAAATTAAAGCACTCTCAATTCAACCCAATTTACGAATTGCAAGAACATTTAATAAACACATTGCATTTAGGTTCTACACGGAGAAAGCGTTATATTATTCAACTGGAAATGTTTTCAAAGCGTTTGCCCCTCACACCATATTATAAAATATAGCTGAAAAAGTGGACCATCTTATTTTTCTGGTTTTGAGTAGCTGGATAGCTAAACCGATAAATTATTCTAAGTACGGTTTCGAGACAAACCAACAAGGGAGTAAACATAATAATGCATTATACGGGATTTTCTGCTTATATTTTTTCCATTTCAGAATAATATACAACTAGTTATTTTAATGGCGAATTCACATCGACTTGAATGTTGTAAATGGCTGTCGACAACAGAACACTAAGGTAAAAGAGAACGGTATACAGAGCTCACTTCAGCCGAAAGGATTAGATCTTCACGCAATGCAAGCATAGCCGTATGTGGTTACATATCATTTTGCATATATAAAAAGCGCAACTGTCTGAACCCCAAGCTTCAAAATGAAATGAACATCTCTGATCATGCTAGTCTTCAGTAACCTTAAAAGACCCGCACAGCTGCTAAATGAATTGCCTGGTATTCACGTTTGTAGCAGGAATTCGTATTGCGCTAAGACTAGGAGTCCAAAATCTTGCGTCACAGATCAGTTAACTTTAGTAATGCTGTCTGCACTGCACTGTGGTCACGGTACTTAATATTAGTTAATAGCATTGTAATTTTAAAAATTTTGTCAAGCACGATTTAGAGGTGAACTAACTATGCAGAAGACATTCCGTGGTTCAAGGTTGGCACAGCCTTGTCAGAATTATATCGTGCATACCTAGGAAATCCTAAAAACGTGGCGTCGCTGATTATTGGTAACATGACAAGCTCTATTCAGATTGCCGTGAATAACATCAGCGTTGGTATAAGAAAACCTCCACGAGTCAGAAATCCACACAGAGATTTAAATTAAAAATGCGGAGTAGCAACATAGCCATTGGAAAAATGTACTATGTTCGACATGTAGTTGATAAAATTTGAAAATAATCGCGACACTTCAAAGGCACGGGGTGAGGTCGAGGTTTCTCATTTTTGGAAAGAATATAAGTAGTGTCATGTTTACCGATTTTAATATTCTTTTATATGATTTCAACATTACATAGCAGCATGCAAGATTAATCGATTCCCTTTTAAAATCGGGTACTCTACCCTCCCCGATTTCTACAATGCCGAAAACCTCATCTGTAATGAAAAGTCTTTGATGCTCCGGGGATGCTGCTTTGTAGCACACTTAAGTGGAGCATGGTGGTACACGGGACACAGAAGTGTGACGGGGGCGTAACGTTTTCGTGCAGATCCTCCTTAACAAGGAAAAAAAAAAGGGTTGTTCGTAGTTCAGTTGAAAGTGCTGTCCAACACGTGAGGCTCATGTGACGGAGGTAGGTCAGTTACTGAGCTAGAGACGTGTCTGTAGTCACAGGGTTTATTTAACACGTAGCCCAATCCACCCACTCCCATACATTTAACCCAGCCTGCAGCTTCAAACTACAGCCGACTGCGCTTTGGATCGCTGGGTGATAACGTCGTGAGCGCTGTCGTTCTGCTTTTCAAGAGACATCGTGGATGATGAAAAGTAAAGCGTAGAACAATAAGCAGCTCGCAAAATCTGAAGAAGAAAAAACAAAACGTCAGAGCAAGAGCGGTCTTTTGATTTTTTTTTTTACTAAATCATATACACTTTTCATATTCAGTTTTGCGACTGAACGGGAGAAACGAAAAAAAAAACTTTTGACTATCGTACCTTGTTTCACGTTGGTTTCGTCGTCAGAAAAGAAAATGGAAAGGATCACAGCTGCGCAGCCACCCCCTTGCATGACAAAACACACATCGTTGGAAATCCCTGACATGCAAGGGTATGTACGTGTCTATTAACAGCTGGTTTGTGCATTTTCCAGTCTGCAGTTTGTCTCTTCTTCTGTGTGTCGCGCAATTCGTGCAAGTTTGATAAAGTTAGCCGTTCTTCAAATGCAGACATCTTATTTTCCCCCGTTTTCATATTGCTTGTAGAATGGATTTCCCCATGTACGTGTACAAGCCCAGAAGGGGAATAAAGCGAGGGGAAGACAGCAAGGTACGAAACGCTCTCTCTTCTTGATTACAATTTGAAATACCTTTCTGGTGGATCTTTTATATGTCATTTGAAAGCTGTTTTTGTAAGTTAAACATGTATTTAATCGAGGCATATATCATTATTTTGATGTATGCTTATACCATATATGTATGTATTTAATGGGCTAAAAATGCATTAAAATTATATTTAGTGTAACGTAAATATAATTTTAAATTAAACTATTTAACTTTACATAGTGTACTTAAACGTGCATACTTGAACAAGAACCTAACTGTTGATTTTTTTTTCTCTAGGAAACTTACAAGTTGCCCCATAGACTCATTGAAAAGAAAAGGCGTGACAGAATTAATGAATGCATTGCTCAACTTAAGGATTTGTTGCCAGAGCACCTTAAACTTACTGTAAGTTAGAATTTGGAATAAAGTCAATTTTTTTTAATAGAAATCAACTGTGGTATAAAGCGCCATCTGCTTGTTGGCGTAGGGTTTTCTTGAAGGGCAGCTGACTTTACATGGGAAATTATCAAGGGAATGGATCAAAGCCTTTCTTCGATTTATTCATTCGCCTTGACATTACATAGCTTCTGCAGTTGTACCGAAAGTACCGAAAAGTTCCACAGGATAGGATCATAGGTGCCAAATGGCGTATTTGAAAATAAAAATTCTAGTATATTTTTTGATCGGATATGAAGTGATTATAGGTAGGGTAATTGTGTTAATATCTCTTGAAAATATGGTTATGTGGAAACAATATAAACACGGGAATCTTTGATATTCAAAGGCTTTTTAATTAAGTTTTAACTTGTTGATAAAAATGCTTCTTTTAAAATTACCGTTCGGTGCCCATCCTTTAACAATTGTAACGCGTAATTGTATGCACTTTGTTGATGCGTTACAAATATTGTACGATTTATAGTTAGAGGGATTCGTATTTTTACTTATTTGATATTTCAAAGCTCTTGTTCATTCTATCACGTTATTCTTAAACTGCTTTTGATGATCACAGGTTTGTCAGCCACAGTTTGTTACATAAGTTATCTGCGTGCTTATCAGACTTTTTTTATTTACAGACTTTGGGCCATTTGGAAAAGGCGGTGGTTCTGGAGCTGACCCTAAAGCACGTGAAAGCCCTCACTAGCCTCTTAGAACAACAGCAGCAAAAAATCATCGCACTACAGAATGGATTGCAAGTCGGTAAGTAATGTGCAACTTCAAATCTAAATGCATAGATTAATAGATAACAGCATACGTTTTTGGCTTTTGATTTTATTACGTTTATTGAAAGGAGTCTTTGCAAAGGGCGATTGCATGTGACATTTCTAAGCTGCTAAATCAGGAATAATATGTAAATATAAGCCTGTGCTTATCATTCAAAACGTCATGTCTGAATGGCAAAATTCCCTTGAAACATTCTATTCCATTAGACATTTTCTGCAAGATGAAATGTTATGTCTTTTCTCAGAACTCGAAATAGCTTTTCAGTAGCAAAATCCCAACACAAAAATTAAATGTTTATTTACTGAGGAGTGCAGTAACTGAGTGAATAACCTTTTAATACAGGGTGTCTGCAAGCATCTTGTATTGAAATTAAGTTCCAGTGCAACTATTCTGTGACAGTCAGGATGATTAATTAGAAGTTCCTTCTTTTTTTCTTTTTTTTTTTTAAGGTGACCATCCAGCTCACAGCCCTGACGTGAGCGAGGAAATGTTCCGGTCTGGTTTTCACATGTGTGCAAAGGAAGTTCTGCAGTACCTGGCCAACCAGGAGAGTGGACGAGAGCTGACCCCTTCCCATATGATCAACCACCTGCACAAGGTAGCGTCTGAGGTCCTGCAGAGAACACCCAGCCCCCGAATGGAGGATCTTGGCCTCAAAGCTCATGACCACAAAGAGAAGCCTGCCGGTTTGCAGCCCAAGATCTTCGAGGGTCACGGGAAGAACTGTGTGCCCGTTATTCAGAGGACTTATCCCCAGGGAAGTGGGGAACAGAGTGGAAGTGACACAGACACTGACAGTGGCTACGGTGGAGAGCTGGAGAAAAATGACTCAAAAATGGAGCGGCAGTACTTCGGCAAGGAGAGTGAACTGAAGTATGGCTTAGCTGACCAAGTGGCAGGCTCCATTAAGCAAGAGAGCGATGACCCGCCAATGAAAAGAATCAGGACTGAGTCTTCAGAGGAGGAGTCCCTCTCTGGCGGAGAATTGCTGGGGAATAACAGTGGCTTTCTAGGCTTTTCTCCACACCAGGCTCCGCTCTGCATGCCTTTTTACTTGATCCCACCCTCAGCCGCTGCATATTTGCCCATGCTGGAGAAATGCTGGTACCCCGGTGCGTTGCCAGTTTTATACCCTGGCCTGCCAGGGTCAGTGGCAGGGGGCTTGTCCCCCGAGAAGCACCCATCGTCGCTCTTGATGTCCCCGAGAGTGGGCTCTCCACTGGCTGCGCAGACCCCCATGGACTCTCCTGCCCTGCTTCAGGCTTTGAAACAGGTTCCTCCCTTAAACACAGAAACCAAAGACTGAGAACTTGGAAACCGCTGCGCTCTAAAGGTTGGCGCTGTTTAAAGACAAAACCACCGGTTGGTTAACTACTAAAGGAAGGAAAAAACAACAACAACTCAACAGCATGAATGGAGTCCTTCTGGTAGCAGCAGTTCTTCTGACCCAGTTTCATTGCAGTGGAAGCACGCCACCACGCTTGGAAGCCAGCCCCACCTTCTAAACCTGATGCTGAGAAAAAAAAACAGAGATGCCAGTCGGCATTCTTGATCTGTTCACAAGGGTGTTGAGAAAGAGCAAAGGGTTGTACCAGTGAGACACTGTGAAGAAGGTAAATTTTAAAGAAAATTTTAAAATATACAGTATGTAAAGGCTAAAACATACGTTGGTTGCATACCAGAAGGCTCCTTCTGTTGAATATCCAGCAGTGTTGAGAATGTGAAATATAGAAACTCCCTATTTACCAGGACGTACCCTTTGCACAGACACCTTGGTTGAATGTAAAAACCCTGTAGATGCTGCTTTTAAGTTTATGTGCTGTAAATGTAGGACAGGAGGATCTATACTACTTGTATTAGCAGCTGCTGAAAAGGAAACAGATCATCCTGTTTTTTACACCAAATATTAGCCGTGGCTTTCCCCTGTTTGAAACCTTATGTGGGCCAGAGCAGCCACTATAAAGTAACGGAATTGCTCTCCCTACTCTTCATTGCTTCCCCTGAAAGAAAGGTACACCCAGGCATTTTTAAGAATGAAGTCAACAGCTGTTTCTTCAGGCTTCTTGTGCAGCATTCTTTGCAGATGGGGGAAAGGATTTGCACAAATGCATTTTAATTTTTAGTTTGCATTTCATTACCATTATGCAGTAGCCTTGAAAGAAAATGGTAATGTAAGCTCTTGTAACTACTTTGTTTATACTACCTGTACATCTCTATTTTTGATACGTGTTCTGCAGATATTACCATTACGGCTAGAAAGAGTCATATATGTAAAAGAAACGTGTACATAGCACTGTGCTAGCCCTGATTTGCATTATTCTTAATATTCAAGTTCAACCTGTTCTTTGTTCATGCTGTTGCCTTTTCTTGTTGAAGCTAATAAACTGATATCAGATGTTTATTAAATGTATTTGTATAAATACTGGAGTCTAAAGTAAAGAAAGAAAAGTGAATGTAACATTTTAAACAAGATTAGTTTTGTATAGGAAGAGGTACTTGGGTTTTTTTTTTTATTTTGGGACCTACCAGAAGGTTGTCTGATGTATATATTTTGTCTATAAAGTAAATGTTGATATACATTATATAAGCGTATTAATAAAGTATTTTTTCCCTGTGGAATGTAAGCTTTCTTGTTTAAATGCCAATGGCAATAAAATGTTTTGATGAATGCATTGTTAAGTTTATTCATTTTCAACCTCCTGACCCAACAATATGGAGTTGGGAATATTTCTTTGGAGTTGTTAGGGATCATGTCAACCACCTGTTCATTATAACTTTTTTTAACCTACTTCTCAGCTCAGACTGATTGTGAATTCAACCCCACTACATAGTGGTAAAAAATAGACACTCTGTTCATCTTGGGGTTAATTACTATCCCAATAGCTGATGAGAATCATGTGAATATATCACTTGACATGATGACAGGATGGGTTTGAAGGTGGCACTAGAAGATTATGGTCATGAGTGAGGCTTATTTCTTTTTTCAAATAAAGCCCTTTTACTCTCATTAATATTCTCTTAGGTCTAGAACTACATTGCAGGCAGGCTATTTTATTAAATGAAATGATCTCATATTATAATAGTTTAGTAACTGGAAAATTAACTCTTTGGTGGATGTATACCCCCGGGAGGGGTAATATCTGTCTAAAGCAGGAGTTCCCAACCTTTTTGTCAGCTGAACCCCTTCAACCTAAATTATTTGTCACAAGTACCCCCTTGAAATTTTAACTTAATCAAACCTTTCAATAAATGTAGATAATGCTACAGCAACCATCTTAACATTGCTTCTTTTCACTTTGTAAAATATTAATATTACTACGGTTGTTTTTTTTATTCTCATTATTACATTGTTATTTATTAATAGGACTATTTAATTTGACATTGACGTTTCCATCACAATCTCACGAACCCCCTGCAGTACCGTCACGGACATCTAGGGGTTCGTGAATCACCGGTTGGGGATCCCTGAGTTAGGTGTGCACATTTTCAGGACTGTCCAAATCTTCTCTTTTCTGCTTTTGCATGAAGATACAGTGTCATTTTTTATGTTCGTCATCTTTCATGTGATCTATCTTTCCACATTGCTTAAGAAAAGCAATGAAACCCACACCTTAAGAAGGAGGCGCTTCATTCTTTTCGGAAACCTATTTTTTATGCCACTCACTTCGGATGTTGTAGCTTTACAATTTAAAATATAATGTCACGTAACAGTGGCTCCCAGAGACAAGGAATACGTAATTTGTACACCATTAGAAATTGAATTACTGAATTAATCAAGACACTGATTAAATTTACATCTAGCACCTGGATCACGATTAACCCTGCTTAAACTGCGGGGTTTTAAACATTTAAGATATCTGTAACCATGTAGAAATAACACATGGCAGTGTAAGGATCATTTTTCTTTGCTCTTATGCTGTATTCTGAATAATATAGTAATAATACGGTATTCTGAACAATATTATTAATTTCTATACCATTTCTAGTATTTGAAGGCATTCAGGCTTAATACATGTGCCTTAGATATCAGGAAAATATCCCTTCCGATGATGTCCAAAACTAGACTGATCACGCCTTAAAGTCACCTCTGTACTCTGTGCCTAGCTTATTCACTGAGGTGAATGCCAGGTCGTTAAGAACTATAAAATATCCTGCATACAATATTCATACCATTTAGGACTACGCTCTTGTGATGTTTTATTAGTAGGCAGTATTTTAACATATATATTTTTTAAAAAGGCATCGAAAATGCAGACCGTTGAAAAACCCGCCGTGCTTCCGAGCTTTTCTTTTACTGTAAATCAGGATTTAAATACCAGTTATCAACCTTTCTGGGGGATTTGTGTATAATTTCATCAGTGCTCGTAAATGAAAGCTCCATTACGCACGCCTAAAAAACTGGCTGTAAAGTCTAATTCATTCCTATTCCAGTCAGGACTTATCTTCAGCTAGCGAAAATGCAAATAGGGTCGACAAGTTTCAGAACTCAGGTGGAGTGGAGAACGCCTGCGTTCACACTGTGTACAAAAAAGCTACCCGAGTGACTATAAGGCCCATTCGTTAATATTTTATACAATTTTATCAGCATCTAAACTGAGGCCGATTCACCAAGTTTCCTCTCCTCAAGAGATCGGCTGAGGCTACTGCTGTGTTATCCTTTTTTGGTCTTGTCAAAAGTAGTGACGAATCTGTCAGCAGTACATTATATATAACTAGAAGCTAATCAAAGAACACAAAACTTCACACTTCCAGTGTACAAATTTGTGGTGGGACCCACTGCGTGCGCTCCAGAAATCACGCGATTAACCTGCCTGCGATGAATGTTTCCTTTGTTTTCTCAACGCAACGTTGGCAACGCCGCCTCTGACGAGTTAGGGTCATCAGAAAGGTAGCTCTAAATTTGCACAGAAGGCAAGCCCAGACTGCCGAGAGGAAAGGGTGTGGGAGTATGTGCGCTATCTTTTAAGATATCAGTCAGACAGGGTGGGCGTGCGCGTCTTAAAGACTTCTTGTTTTAAACGGTCTACCCTGCCAGTGACCTCCGCCAAGAAGTGAAATAATGTCACGTTCTCTTCCACAGTATTTCATGTGAACCTCCGCACTAAATACGGTGCTGTTGATTCCGGGAACAGATGTGTCTGGCATCCGGTCAATAGAAACCTGATCTCACCGTGATTAGGCACAGTAACGCTTGCTGAGCCTCTTCTAGTTACGAGTAGTGAATGCTTGTAGTGGGAGGTTTAGTACTTGAGGAGACGGAGAAGATACTGAATACGCTTACTGAAGGGTGAAGGGATAGTTGTTATTCACTTCTATTTCATACTTTTTTTTTCAATCTAAAATTTTCCAGAATGTCCTGAGTAAAAATAGAAAATGACTGAATAATTGATTTTAAACAAAGTTCGTTAGTAGAAGATAATGTATATATATGCCCTCTAGAGATTTTTTTGTAAAAAAAAAGTTTTTTTATTGTGACCTGTTCCTATTTCTTGTTTAAACAAAAATTAACATTGCATGCTGTTAACTACATTCCTGAAATGTGTTCTTAAGAAGTTTTAATCAGTCAGAAGGACTGTGGTTTGCTCTACAATGCTGTGTCATCTAGTGTCTGCCAGACTGTAGGAAGTCTAGTCTTAATTTGTAGGACGGACACGTATTCTTTTCTGTGTATGAACAGTAATAGTAGCTAAAGTGAAGTGCTGTGATTCTGTATTAATAAGCAACATGATCATATTTAGTAAATACAAAAGTTAATCTTTTCAGACTTTGGGTTATTATGTTTCACTTCCGCCCTCTGACAGACTCCTCATTGTCATGATGCAGGATTAGGGTGGAGATGATGTATCATGACCCTAGTCCTCTCTACATCACGTGATGTATTGTAAGGGACATTTGGTGAGAAACTCATTTACATGTTTTAAAAATGAATCCTGTTCTCCTCAGCCCCATGGTCTTCAAGTTTTATTTTTCTATATTGGCTTGACATAGCCTACCTGTTTACGTTTATCCATTTTTGTTTTTTTTTATATACATTTAGGCTGTAAGCAACAACAAAAAAAACACTTAAAAAATCAGAAATGTAATTTGAAGAGTCTGACTTTCCAGGGCAGGTAACAATTATTCAGTGATGTGTTTCAAACATAAAAACCCAAAGTGACTAAATGAACAAGGAAATTGAGACAAGCTTATAAATAAAAGTAATATTTTTAAATAGATATAAGATACTAAGATGGACAACTTTCCCAAATCACTCCATGTCATCTGATTTCACTCTGCTAAAGCTCATGTTTTTACTGGTAAAGTTACAGTATGGGCTCTTGCACCTTTTAAAATAGCTTTTCTAATAATCAGAAAATAAAGGGTTAACAACTTTGAGTGCCAGACAGAAAGTTCCCTGGTTACAGAATGTGATTTAAAGGCTAAGGTGAATCAGTATGTGAACATTATCAACAGGTCACATGTGGAGTTGGTCTTAAAGTGAACACACAATTTTTACTGCAGTCTTCCTGACGTGTTAATTAAGCCCAGTTCAGAATTCAGACACATTTTAATATTTTTTTTTAAAGAACTGGGTGTTATTAACACAAATTACAAGAAATAAAAAATCACAGACATAAATTGGATCTTTCACTTGCAAGTGCTCATTTGTAGCATGAAATCTGGGTTGTACTATACAAATTAATGAATATGTAGTAAATTGGTGGGAGCCTAACCAGTATGAACACCATATCAAATAGTATTTCCCTATGTACAACTGGTATTAGTATACATCACAGAAAATGAAAGGGAACACTCATCAGGGTTTTCACAGTATGGACTTATGTAGCCATTTTGATCATGGTCATTTGAAACTTTTAAAGGCCAAAACTTTATTGTCCTTTATTTTATATCAACATTAACACAATCACAGAGACCGCCAAGTTAAGGATAGTGATTTCCTTTATTCCCTCATTTGCGCATTGCAAATGTGGGTGCCTGTTTTCTTCCCTCTCTAATTAAGAAGGCCTGTTGGTGAGCATCTTTGGCAAGCCAGCTAATTTCATTATCCTTGGTGATGAGACTCAGCTGACCTGCTTCTCCATAGTCAATGTCACACTCTATGAATAAGAGTGTTGAAGTGTTTTTTTACTCCCACTAATGCTGGGTCTCCTGTCGGTTGTTGTTGATTGTGGTGTTTTTTTTTTTACAGTGATACCCTCCTGGGTTAGAGTGGGTGCAGAGAGTACTGTAGCTGTGATATTGAGTTATGATTATTAATATTTATAATCGCACGATCACATCGCTACGGGGGGTGGAACTTTCAGCTTTTCATCACACCTTTTTTGCACATAAAGTCAAAGCAGACCTTGAAAGGTGTTCTTTAATATGTAATAGTACGTATCAATGGTTAATCCTAGTTATGTTAGGATGATCTTTAGCAAGCACTAAGCAGCTACTCGTGACTTGATATTCGCATAAAGCCGAAGAAATAATAAAATTAAGGCAATTCTGTTTCCTGTTGCTTTATGATGGGCGAAGAAAAAAATAATATTAACATGCACGATTCAGAAAAAAAAATACGATAAAAGATCTGCATAGCTCAGTTTGATACGATTTTACCATCTGTAATCACAATGAAATGGTTTTTTGGTCTGATACATTTTAATGTGGGAAAGAGCATTTACATTTCTTAACTGGTATAACTGGGGCTTTGAAATATTATGAACATTCTGTGTTTTATTTCAGATTCCACGCTGGAAAAAAAAAACAGTAGGCCTTTAAGAGACACCCTGTGTGACCACACCGAAAAAAAAGCTGCAGCCCGTCACATGCGCTGCCACATTGTGCTCCCTGCAGGTCTGCGGCTCTGATTGGTGGGCGTTGTTCACAGCCGGTAAATAACATGGTAGATTAGTAGTTTAGTTAGGGAGCTTCAGCTGGCTGAAAGCATGGGTGGTAACCTTCTATAACCCCGTTACCGGTCTATCAGTACACATACGTTTATTTGTACTAATCAGTCTTTCATAGACAAGCTGGGCATTACAGGTTGCTGTCCCTTGATAAAGATAGCTGACGACCTTTAATCGTGTGGTGTGCTACTCGGTATTGAAGCATTTCTGTTTATTTTGTGAAATACATTATATCTACTTATGTGCTTTACGGGTTACGTTTGAGTGGCTGAGGATAAAGAACATAAAAATGTATTCACAAGCCTGGAGCTTGTCACATCTAATAAGGTGAAAGCAATAAAAGTATTTTTTCAAACCCTTTCAATATATTTTCCAAAACTAAGATTATTCTTCCTGGATTTAACTTCTGCTGGTGACGGAAATGAGCTTCATTATTGCACAGAAACGCAGGGTCGTGTCAATAACTGTTAATGGATGTACAATTAGATTATTACTGGGTTACAAGAATCAACTAACGACGTACACCTCTTGTATCGTCATTGCATCAGAAAATGCTACAAGTACTGTACACGTAGTACTGTCACGTATGTGTAAAAAGAAAAAGACACATTTCATTTTTTCAAATAAACAGAAACAGGGCACAGGTAGCTGTGGTCCTGACCTTGTAATGCAAACGTTTTGAGAATTTCAACAGTTTAATGCACATATAGACAACGTAATATAGTAGTGCTTTTTTCTTATTGTTTTTTTGCAGTTACTTTGTTAAGCAATTAAGAATGTTTTCCAGACGTGCCTCTATTTAGTAAGTTTGAGAGTTGACTATTAGTTAATAATAATAATAATAATAATAATAATAATAATAAATACCAAAAATTGAGTCAGGAATTTTTCAATTTTTCGTAGGCAAGTTAGAAACACAATGTGTCATTTTGTATTCTGACGTACAGTAGATGATCTGGGTTTTAACAACGAGTTGGCAGGCTATTATGTTGTTAATAATGCTAAATGTTGTTCCTGCTGAGGAGAGTTTCATAGATAATCGCGAGAGTAGTGTATTGTATCATTGTGATAGAGTACCACCTACTGGTAGAATCCTGAAAGTTCATACTTAAGTGAAAAAGATTTCAGCTTTAAACTCAATCAATAATTATAATAATTCCTTACACTTATAAAGCACTTCACTGAACACTCTATTTAAAGGGCTATACAGGTAATTAGGACTCCCTCTACCACCACCAGTGTGCAACACCCACCTTGATGATGTGATGGCAGCCATAGTGTGCCAGTACGCTCACCACACACCAGCTATCAATGGGGAGGAGTGAAGAGCCAATTTATAGATGTGGATTATTAGGAGATAATCGCTCACACCTGAAGAAGGCTCCACGGCCGAAACGTTGTGTTCTCTTTCTTCTTTTTTTCAGCATGGAATAAACCTATTACTTGTTCCATTATTAGGAGATGATTGTTAAAGGCCAATATGAAAATTGTTCAGGTCGCCTGGGTACTAGTCTTTTCAAGAAACATCCTGGGACTTTTAATGAACACAGAAAGTCAGAACCTTGGTTTCACATCTCATATGGAGGATGACACCTTTTTACAGTATAGTGTCCCTAGACTGGGGCATTGGGATCCACACAGACCACAGGGTAAGCTTATTTGCCCCACTAACACCTCTTCCAGCAGCAATCTTTGCTTTCCTTGGAGGTCTCCCATCCAAGTACTGGCCAAGAGAACATCTGCTGAGCTTCATTGGGTTCCCAATTGTGAGTTGCAGGGTGAAAAAGCTGCTCTTAAAATTAATTTAATTATTTATAACAATTCCCCTGTAGTTTGCCTTGTGCAGGACTGGCCATCTTAGAATTGGTTAAAATGTACTACCATTTCTGAAATAGTTTACAAGTTTATACACACCTAACAAATGTCAGTTTTTTTTTATTAATCTGTAAAGTAAGCAATTTGATTAGTTTATAAGAGGACAGTTCTTGGTCTTGGAATCCTACTTGCTGTTCATATTTTCACGCCCAAGCATTACTATTTCACATCTTTAGACCAATGACTGTTGTCAGCAGGGAATTGTTCAATGTTTTTAGATATGAAGGGTGATCAGTATTACACCATAACTTGCATTTGTTTAGTGTTTTGCATCCCATAGTGTTTTATATATAGGAAGTTTCCACATTGGTGATAAGCATTATTTTGCAGTGACCACACTGCAGATCAGACAAGAAATTGCTTCACCAGTTGAATTAAGGGGAAATTTCGGGTAGGCCAGATGGCAGAAGCCCAGAAAATAATTTAGCACCACCACTCTCCTAGAAAGTACCAGGCACTCTTTAACAACCAAGAAATAAAGAGCTCATTCACATCTTATCTAAAGGACACCACCTCCTAAGGAGTAAGGTCCTAAGAATACTCCGTAAATGTATTAAGACCATTTAACCTTTCCGAGCTGCTTCAAATGAAGCATTCCTGTACAGTACCGAGAGGCCTTAAAACAAATGAGAATTGGAAAGCCTCACAGTATAGGCTTACTTTTTATTTTGCTAAGTCTGAATCTGCATCTGCAATACAGATCTGAATCTGCAATAAGGTAGGTTAGTGTATCTGCATGTCCTCATATCACCATTGCGTTTAATCTCATTCAGTAAACATCCTGCCCTGTAGCACCAGAGACACCAACGAATAAAACCAGACGGCCTCACTGTGAGTTTCCTCCAGCAACCAAGTGTTTGTTGTTGTGCTTTGTTGCTAGTCTGTTTGTTAAGTGGCACTGAAGTATATGCTTAAAAACAAACCCTGACAGTAAGGCATCAATCAGACTCTAAAACAGACACTTTATGTGAATTACTGCTCTTATATCCAGTTTTTGTAATTTAATCCTCTAGGATTGCATTTGGAGTTCCATGTTAACAGAGAATGTTAAGTGTAGCCTGGTTGGGGGAAAAACAAAATCTATTAGACGGAACCTGCCCCCATCCTAGAGATCAAGATACAATTTGTCGGGATGATAAGAGGGGATATGTCGCATAAATGTATAGACACGTTCTAAGGTGCAAAGAATAGGTAAATGTTTATTCCATGCTGAAAAGAAAATGTTCTAAGATGTTTAGTTTTATTTTGTTCACATGGATATTTCTCGCGTTTCCATACTGGGCACCTATTACTATTGATTCCTTTCGATATCAGACAGCCCTGTCCATATAAAATGTTGGAATCTCTTTTTTCAGTTTCGCCTGGCCAAAAATAACCACCACTAGAGGTCGCCATCTCAGCTGCCGAGCACAGCGCTGTGCCCGTAAACCAAACCTGCCCATCTGCCTTTTCGAGCAAGGTCTCCATGCGCTTCAGAGTCATATGACAAGAGCTCACTTCCTGTCGACTCTTTGCACTCCTGGCTGGGGCTTTGGAGACAGAAACAACATTCTGTCCCAGTTTTCGTGTGGTTGTCGTTGCACCTCAAGATGCTGGCGCTCATAAACAGGCTTTTGGACTGGTTCAAATCCCTTTTCTGGAAGGAGGAGATGGAGCTGACGCTGGTGGGGCTCCAGTATTCCGGGAAGACCACCTTTGTCAACGTGATAGCTGTGAGTTCTTAATATTTTATTGTCAACCGGTGAATAATAACATTTGTCCGGCCTTAGACTGGGAGGGGACGGCAAGCAAGCGTTTTCGTTATTTATTGCCTGTAACGCTTGAACATTGACTATGATGGTAATGTTTTAGAAACCAAACATTTAAAATAGGAAAGACAGGTTTGTTTTTTTTTTTACCGGGCAGCTGAGCTGTTTGCGAATGTAAACACAACAGGTCTAAGGCTCCGAGGCCGTTTGTCGGATGTGCGGCAAAAAAAATCGGTTTTGTTTTCTTTACCTCGTTTTTAGATTATTTCAAGAATACCGATGCCTCGGTTGTACACGTGTAATGCTGCAGTGGAATGAATCGGTCATTTAAGAGATGGGGAACTTAACGTTTACTAGGCCTCCTTTTCGTGCTTCGCCGGTTTGTGCACAGGGAGACTAACCTTTTCACTCCAGATCGTCTCCTGGCTGCGTCGACACGCAGGTGAACGACCCTGTTTTGAGAAATACGAGTCCTTTGGGATGAATTGGTCAAAGTCCCGGCCAAGTGGTTATTACATTCTCTTATGTGCACCTTGGCCAACGGTAACGATGACCTCAGCTGTAGCTGGCCACGAAGTTAGAATGTCATTATATGTGAGAAGCTGCATTGAATGTGGATGTAACTTTAATCGGACGGAGCATGAAAACGTTATCGACTTGCAGATTTTGAAATGGGTCTTGCCCATGGTGTTGTTTAAGGCCAAGGGTATTGGGTAATAGGAGCAGGTGACTTGACAAGACCGGAATAAGCTGCGATAGTTACACATCAGCATTACACTTGTAAACAGCCCTAAACAGATTGCTTCGTTTGCGTTTCTTTTTTCCCAAAATTGCCATGCAGTCGGTGACTACTAATCTTTTGCCTGAAGCAAGTGTTTGTTTTGCATCTTGTGACACATCTTATGGTGATTTGCGGTTGGAAATTTAAAGGACTTTAGCTGCTTAGCACTGCAAACTTGTCAGTCTTCTAAAACTGATCAGGAGAAATTAATACAGTACACATCGAAGGATGTGGTTTGAAATAATTTAAAGCTTTTCTTTTACCATTGATGTAGATGTTTCGATTAAATATCTTTCGTATTTTATCATACGAAGGCCAACAGGACTGGGTCATGTGAGTGTGCCTCAAGTGTGACTGGCTCACCCTGACCTACGTCACTAGACTCGATGTCACTGTTGTGCATCACCTTTTATGTGAAATCTGACACTGTTTTTGAAACACATTCAGACGGTCGTGTGTTGTGAGTCTACCGTTACACGCTTTCTAATACTTACTAGCTAAGCACCTTTGTATATGCGTGTGGTCGTGTAACAAATCAGGAAAAACATCCTGGATGTCAAAAGAACAACGTCACGCAGTTAAACACAATTTAGTCATATTTTTGGCCTTAGTTATTACATAAACAATTGAATTATTGTAAAGAAATATGCTTTATATTAGTAGATGGAATTTTATCTTGGCAGAAATTGTTTTCATGTACATGCATATTACAAGAACACGGAAGGAAGGATTTATTTTTACGAGGCAAACGAGATCTTTTCACTTACTACCTAGTCAGTTATATAATTACACAAGGGTGTCTGCAGAGGGCTACACTGTAGCCATGACAACCACAGTCATTATAAGGCTGAATCATGATCTGGATGTCCCAAGGGAATAACATTTATTAAACCTAACAAATAGGTTAAAAAACATAAATGCCTGGATTATTTCAGTTTTAGCATCCCAAATAAGACCATTATATCTGATATAAATCATAAAATACTTAACTATTGGTAATTAACTATTGGTTTTACACTAATTCAGTCTGGTGTGTACCAAAGACAATATCAGTAGCTTGTAAATCTGAATAATTGACATAAATAATTTGAATAAAATGTATTTCGGGAATGATCTTTGTAAAGCCACATCAGTAGCTAGACCACCTATGTGTTACATTAAAGTAAACATTTACTAGGAATAATACCCAAGAATCAAGCGCATTCCAAGTGTTTTAGGCCGTAATCAAGTGCATTTGTGGAGTGTTTTAGATAGTAACTTTGGCTTATCCCACATGCCTGAGGGCTTACCTCCTGGCCATAGGATGAGGAGGCTGAGAATCCCCATGCAGAGTGAGGAGTGACCAAGGGACACCTGCAAAGGTAGAGGTGGGATGCTAAAGATGTATGTGAGGGAGGGAAGGGGATAACATAGTATTTATAATGTTTGAAATGAGGAAATGGCGTTAGGGATGATTAAAAATTACTGACAGCTGAGACTGATTGAATTTGGATGTTGTCATCCCTCCTGAATCTTCATTATAAATCACATATATAATTTAGTTTTTTTAATAGCAGGGCTATAAATTACCATTGTGATAGTTCATAGGTTCAATTCAAAGAATATATTGGTGTATATATATTTTAAAATGTTTGTGAACTTTTTTTTTATGAGTGAGGACTTTACTTTCCAACAGGCCAAAACGTAAGAAATGTGGCATAATTTAAATTTCAGTAGCTGAATGTATACGTAATGGCACTATTGATATGATTCATGAATGGGTATATATTTCAAGGGGAAAAATGACAGAAAATTGTATGTTTTAAGTGAAGCTCTCGGACTGTTCCTATAAAACATTGAACTGTCGCTTTTTAATTTATTCTCTGCTGGACTCCAAAGATCCTTCCCCAAGGGTAAAGATCACCTCTTCAAGGTAAAATGGGCCCAAAAGCCCAGCCAGCTCCAGTAGAGGGACAATGTATGTAATATGAGCTTGTCATAAAATCTCACTCTGGATATTATTTTTTAGTAATAAAAATACTAATAGCAATACCTGCTCTATGTAGAATGGCCAATTATTAATAATACTCTACTTTCTGGCCTTGACTCCTTTACATACTCTAGTAAGAATGAAAAACAGTATATATGCTTTTCTGACACACTTGCCTTGTTGTTATTTAACAATTTGTGAGCTCCACAGCCACTGACAGCAGAGTCTGAGCTGATCAGAGGTGTGGCATATGTCTTACTTACTCTACTGCAAGTCACAGGCCATTGCTGTTTACAGGCCTGCCAAGAGCACCCTGTGTGATTAATCCCAAGACCCTGCTTGGTTAATTGTGTACCACCTCTTGGGGAACCCCAGCCTCTGTGAGCTAATAACATGACCTAGGTTTGAACTGGTGATGTCTGATTTGTATCTGGGTCAGTACCTTTACTGGTTGAGCATCCCTGGCATCTCTTTGAATATGAAGGATTTAGAAGTTTACTTTAGTGGAGGTTTAACATTTCAAAAAGTGCATTTGCAATTGCTAAAGGTTAAACAGCACAGGCTAATGGTTTATCTTGATTTCAATTTGACATCTGAGCTTAAATGTTGGTTCAAGTGAGAAGACATAAGATGTTATTGGTCACTGTAGATGAACCACAACCTTAATCAGAGCCACTGATTTCTTTGAAGCATAAAGTCTACCTGTTTTGAGACACACACCTACTGTAGGAGGAAGATTTATTACTCTTTCTTTCTAAAACATGTTAAACCTGGTGAGCTGCTGAAAAATGATCTGAAAACATTTTTTTCATTTAAACCAAGCTTTCAGATGTAGCTCTTCAGCAATGCACCATCTTTAAACTTTCAGCTGATAGCAGAATAGTGAATCAGATTGTGAAAGACATGCATGCCATTTTGATGCAAAAAACTTTCAGACAACACTGATATTGTTAACATTTAAAGATTGTGTATGCTTTATAACTCTGGCATATCTTACACTGTAGTTAGATTTACTGAAAACTAAATGAAACATTTTTATACAATAGGAACACAGAAGAGAGGCATGTTCATCTATTGAGAAGTATTTAATGCACAGGGAGCAGGACATAGTGATGAGAAATAAATGGTGTCAGCCTTCACGGATGTCCTGTCTGTAGTGTCTAGACACTCTTGCTTACACCTTCACACTTGGACCCTCTTATCAATTGGTTTGTTATACCCAGCAGTTGCCATATTATTCTGTACAACAAGTTCAACAAGTTGAATCAAATGTTAATCAGCAGTTAAAAGCCATAGGCGCACTCAGCAATCTATTATTGTTGGTTTGACACCTAATCACTGCTGAAATACAAGCAAGCATTGGTCCTTTGTTTGTACAGGGAGGGCTTTGTAACATCTGAGTGTTTACTTTGCATTTAGGCAATCCAGTTAATACAAATCACAATCAGGAGTACACATTTTATTTCTGAGATAAATATGATTATTTGCTAGAGAAGAAACATTTCTAATGCTTTGGAAATATATATTTTTTTAGTTTATAATTTGCTTTTCACTACTATACTTTGAGTTGAGTGATTTTCTGTGTAGTTTCTTTGTCATCCTTCAGACTGAAGAGGCAGCTATTGTTGTTACAACAGTTTCATCTGTTTAAATTACATAGTACTTCATTGATAAAGATGAAGTGCAAGCAAGTACGGTACTTTCACTACTTTTTCATTTCCACCTAGGACATTCTGAATCAGCAAGGGGCTTTACAGTGCTGTGGGTGATGTTTCCCTTTGGTCACTCGTGTGGTTATGTGGCATAAATGAGAACTGCGATACTGTAACTGGACAGCCCTGCCTTGTGATATTGTGCTGTAATGTATAGCTAGTCAGCTGGGGCAGGAGGTCAAGGGTTAAATTCAACTATGCAGCTCAAATGTTTGATCTACCAGAGAAAGAATGAAGGAGGACAATGAGACCCAGACAAATAAAAGAACTCAACATACCTAGATGTCAAAATATTTGGCCAGAGAAGGTTAGGTCAGAGAATCTGTTAGATAACTAAATATGGATCTTTTCCACATACCCATCTTGAGAAATACAGCTTTAGGAGGAACGTAGGTAACTGAAATGTGTACAGTATGTAAGCTGCAGGAAGCTTGTATTCAGTAGTTATTGTGCTTTGGTGGCTCCAACGGGTTGTGAATTGTTTCTTTTTGCTGGATAGTAATGGCTCCAAGTGAAACCTGGAAGACTGCATTGAGTAAAGATGATTTTCTGTGTTCCTGTGTCTTGGGAGTTAACATCGTCACTACACTAGTAAGAAAATATAGATTCAGGAGGGTTGGTGGAGCTTAAGAAGATTCTCAAGAAAACATTTCTTGTTTGAGTGCAAAAGTTGTAGATTATCGCTTAAAATCTCACTTTAATTATACTAGTGCTGCAGTTAAGGCTTAATAGTGCTACCTCTACTACAGTTACAAATGGTAAAATGTGCAAATTAACCTAAATAATTTGTCAGTCGCAGCAGTTTGTGTGATAAAATCCAGCGATTATAGTGATAATATTTGTGATATCAAAATATTTGAATTAATGAATAATAATTTTGGAGAATTAGCCGCCACAGACCAGGAAGGTTTCAAAAGTGTCTAAAAGTATCTGAAATCTGAAAGTATGATGCTGAGTGGCTGTTTTCTGAGAGCAGCTTCTCTGTGGAAACAATTACATAAATTAAATATGTTTGCTGATAGTAAATTTTTTTATATTTATGCTTTAATAACACAAGTAATGTGAAGGATAATGCCTGAAGCAGCTGTTTGCTTTGTTTCAGGTCAGTACAGGAAAAAGGGCTTTTCAAGTTGCCATTTTACAATGATACCATGAATCTCTTGTGATATTGTTGGGAAATAAAGTCAGGATCCTGACTGTTTAAAGAATCATATCATATTTATAACATTGAAGAATTACTTTGGAACTTTTCAGTAAAACCTGAACACTTGCCATCCTGTAGTCTAACTGGAATCAGATGTGTTTTATCAAGGAACGGCTTATTATTAATAGCTCCAGTCTACGCTATAATACAATTCCATGCCTTCTGTAACGTAAGTTCAGTGTCTTGTTGACAAGGGACGGGATTTGAGATATTGGAACTGGTTATGATGCGGAATGTCGAAAGCACTGTGCATGTGCAGATTTCTACTTGTCATTGACTTTCTCTCCTGGGAATTGTAATGGAGTGAAGGAAAGTCCCAGCAAAACAAAAAGTAACTGTACAAGAATGATTAACCTTGAACCATCTACACGTCTCTAGCTAACACAACTGATGCTTCCATCCGGAGTAAAATGCTAGTGTTAGTGGTTGACTTGGTGCCCATGTGTCATCACAGCACGAAATGACAGGAGCAGTCCTCTTCAACAACTTTGTTCAAGTTTTCAGTTCGCCAGAGGTACAGGCGATGTTGTCATCCAGTCTTGAAACAGGCCAATTAGTAACTGGCCTATTTCGCTACTGGTTAGTAACTGGTTTTTAGGGGTTATCGTGTCTAAATCCTTCCTTGATAATATCGGCTTGCTAGGCAGCATTGAGGATTTGAAGATATGGAATTTATACCCCTTAGTATAAAAAAAACACGGAGCCTATGTTTTCTGATATGAGATCTTTACCAATGTAGGCTGGTATTCGATTAATTCACCCACTTGTCATTTTCAAATTACACATCAACACAGGATGTAAGGTTTCCACTAAGAAGCAGCAAGATAAGAGGTCTTTAGCAAACACTAAACTTCCTCCGAGAACCAAAGTGTAATTTCTAATTCATGGATGTGTTGAATCCATGTCGAATGTTTCTTTTAATTCAGTCCGTAATCATAGGAAAATGGGTGTTTCATTTACATCTCTTTTTTTAACTTTTTAACTACCAAAGTGTATGCAACAACATTGAATTACTCTTAATTATGATGTTGTGATGCATTATATGGTTTGAGCTGTGCAATGTTTAATGCTGGATATGCACAACATACTTCTCGTAGTTTTAAACGTGGGCATGAAATCCATATCAGGTCAAGTGACATTGAACCTGGTGATCTTCTAAGGATTTTCTGTTTTTCAGGCTATCGTTATGAATTAGATTCTGTAAACAGATGTGAACCCCCAATTATAAGACGCATAATGTGTAATCAAATGTAAAAGGTTTCGAGACAATCAAATTCAGCTGTAAAACACAATGTACACAGCATTTATTTTTCTGCTCAAAGGGCTTTTTATTGTAAGTTGGCCCTTCCGGTGGCAGTTCCAGTAATGATAGCTGTTCTGTACATCATAAATACTGCGTGGTGAAGTTCATTAGGCAGGGAATAGCATATCCCAAGGTATGCACCATGAAAACCTGAAGGTCAGCCCATGAGATCTGAAAGTGGATTGTAATTTTCTTAGAGCAGAAACTGAGCCAATACTGAATGTAGACACTTGTAACAGCTTGCAGCATACGGTTTAACTTGTGGTCTACCAATCTGAGGAAAGAAAGGAAAAGCAGTAATGGGTTTGGCTTTACTTTTATTGTATTTACTGAGTGGAGAGCTATTAACATCTGTAGTACACTTGTGGTCTACTTTTTCGGGAATATATTTTTAATGTTGTGGTCTTAATTACTCCGTTGTATTTGAAGGCCAATAGTTTCTCAAGCCAATCAAAGACTACTTTAATGAGCTTTAAAAAGAAACCTTCTACAGCCGATCATGTTTCATTTTGAAGAGGGAAGATAAACCTCACTTCCATTCACAGGCCTGAAGCCAATTCACAACAAGAAGCTTTGGTCAGAGCACCACAAGGCTGAGATGTGGTATAATTCCACATCTCCTGGGTTCACAGCATATTGTTATTCATGTAAGCCACTTTCAAGCAAACCAGTGCTGAATTGTAACCCTTCCTTTGCTTAATCGGTGGTTCTGATCAGGAGTTTCTCTTGCACCTTCAATATGAGGGAAGTTGGTAAGACAGATTTTTACAATAGTAGGTCTTGTGTTGAGATTGTGATCAGAAAGGGATGGATATGTTGTGAAATCAGCCTTTTTTGTGTTTTTCATGAATTGCGGGATAAGAAAGACCAGTGCAGTAACCTGTTCTGTGTCTGCAAGAGAAATTCTTCTCTCCATAACTAAGGACCTTTCACTTATTTGGTATATCCTGTCTATAAATCTCATTTGTCTCACCCAGACATATTGGTTTTTATGTTTTGCCAATATCAATGTCTAAAGACTTGAGGTGTAGTCTTATTGTGTGATATTCTGAGGTGCTGCTTGGCACTGTGGACAATAGCAGATGAAGTTAATAATTTGCCTTCAGAGAATAGCAGTCAATGTATTGCCTTTACCATTGTCCACCTGTGTTGTTCTTCAGTAATATGAAGCTTCATGGAAGTATTCATATTCTTTTTTTGTTGTTGAAATTGACCTACTCTGTAATGTACCCCATTCCATCTTAACTGATAGGAATATAGCATAGCATTGCTGTGTCTGCAGGCAGCGGTCCAGGAATCTGAGGGGATTACTGGTGCAAGTCACAAGACACACCCACTCACTTCCACTTAGTATGAGTCAGGTGACGCTGGACTCGTGCTTGGGTGGTAAGTTTGAGGCAACAACGTCTCACATACAAAAAGGAGTGTCTTTTACTGAAGAACAAGCACGGTTTTGTCTTTACAAGTGTTAAGAATTGGGTTAAGACTCCAAATTCCAGCGAAAGTTTAAAAAAAATAGGGTTAAGGATTCCCTTTGGATCTGCGGAGTACACTTTGACTTGAGCCCTTTAAAGAAGGCAGGAAGGAAGCATTGACAGTTGAAAAATAACCTGGAATACCGCTGTGGAAATTAGGCAGTCTTGTCTAAGCATTTCAAGTGAAGTTTCCAAGTTCAGTTAAAGTTCAGACATATCCATAAAATTAAAATTTTCGCACAGGCCATACTTTGTGTTTAATTTAATTGTACGTACTTTGTGGTGATGAACAGCGCTCATACAAATGCGATTTTGGTTATCTGTAGTTCGTGTGTGTCCATGAGGAGGTTTTTCTTCTTGTCTTTCCAGGGTAAAGGAAAAACCATGTGACTACTGTAAAAAATGTGCAAAATGCATTGTGAGAGCTGAGGCTTTTTTAAAACCGCAACAAAGAGTCCAACCGGATATTTGTCATTTGAACTTTGTCCCAGTTTTTTTTTTCCAGCCTTGTGCCACCATTAGAATGTTTCATCTGGCTACCCTGGGCATTTGCACACAGCAGCCCTTTTCATTTAATGTGGATCCTTTCAGAATTTCAGGCTTTATTCCTTTGCTGAGGGGTTATGGGTTCACTTCAAGGACATGTATTAGCTATTTGATTTGTCAAGCCACTTCTAAAATCAAGTACCATTGTCACATCTCAGACTGTGGCACTGGTGCACATATCAAATAGCGATGCCTATACTTTTGCTGTTTTTCCAGGGAAGGGACCATGCAGACTCCCTGTACCTCCAAAACTTTGTTGTGAGGTAGAGGAAGTCTACCTGCTATATAAATGTGTACATTTATACCTGTATGCATGCTAGTACAGATATGTGTGCATGATACTAGTCCTTCCTCTAGTTAAATCATGGTTTGAAATTTTACAAGTGTCTTTCTTTGATAGTTATGATACATGCTGTGGATGGCTAATTTGGCAACAAAATTACAATTGAAACCTGGATGTACTAAAGACAGAATATATTTGATATGAGCCATTTCACTTCACTTTCCATTCCATTTCACTTTGTACTTCACTATATACTCATTAATAGCCATGTCTGATTATGATGAATGCAGAAAAGGAAACGAGCACTCATCTCCAGGATGGGATTTTCTGTTGGTTACTTTTTGACAACTGAACAAAACGCTCATTGTGGTGTTGAGGGGGTAGACAATTTTCACTTCCCAAGTATTTTGATCTTGCCGAGATCTAGATTTTGTTTTCTAAAATGCGTGCTCCCTTTGCATACACAAATAATGCTTTAATTTCTATTGTAGTCGGGCCAGTTCAGCGAAGACATGATTCCTACAGTGGGGTTTAACATGCGAAAAGTCACCAAAGGCAACGTGACAATAAAGGTAATAGCTTTTTAACAAGCTCTCCTTTCTGTGACATTAATTTTGAGTGCAGTAAACACCATGAGAATGTAACACAAGAAACTGAAGCACAACACTACTTGCTGGTTTTGCCAAGCTCTCCAGTACAACATTGACATACCTGTAGTATTGAGGTTTATTTTCACCTGTTTCTATTATTTGTTTTATGAAATTCAGAATGGCACAATAGACAGTATACAAATATGCAGCTTCCGATGGCTGGATTATATTTTAAATCAATATTAAATCAAAATTTAAGTTTTTTATTTTATTTTGTGCTTTACAAATGTGTTGAATATCATTTGGTTTAGTCACATTGTACATAAGCATTTTGAGATGTATCAGAACATTTTTAAGAAAATGTATACATGCACATGTATTTTCTGTACAACACTGTTGCCAATATTCAGTGGTTTGTATATAGATTTGGGAAGCAAGTACTTTCATGTGCAAATTTATCTACAAAAACATGTATATGCAATTACAATTTTTGTAGTGTAATCCTACAAATTGTTTGTAGTATCTTTTTTTTATGTTCTGCAAATAAGAAGGTGAAAGGGATTGTGGTAGCCTTCACAGATGACATAAGCGTCTGTTATATGGTCAGCCCATCAGGGTAATGAATGTTTGTCTCCTCTCCAGGAAACTACAAATTGATATTGAGCATTAAAAGTATTCAAAGTAATAAAATACAATTTGGCTTTAATTCGCCCTATGGTAAATGGTATGTTCTATTCTTTGTGTGGTATCCATCAGTTATGACATTTTACGTTTTCAGTTTCACTTTACATTTGATGAAAACACATCTCATTTGCCACAGCCTGCAAAGAGATCAATGATGTCTGAGAAGATTTCTTTGTAGAAAGTGCCATCTAGTGGTAAAAATGTAAAAGCTATCTGCTTTTGGTGATTTTCACACTTTTCTCTTTGTGAAGCCATGCAAATTGTCCTTTCTATTTCACAAGTATTCAGTCTTGGGAATGCATATAGTAGGAATAACAATCTTGCTATTGTAGTCTGTTTTTAAGTATTTTAGGATTTTAGTGATAAAATTAACAGGTGTCATTTTTAAATGTGATTTAATTTGCTTCTTCCCCCTCAATAGATTTGGGATATAGGAGGACAGCCAAGATTCAGAAGCATGTGGGAGCGATACTGTAGAGGAGTGAATGCTATTGTGTAAGTAACAGACTGGGTAAAGGGCATTCCAGGACAGGAAACGTCACAAAATGCCATTGCCTAACGGTGCCTTTCCTGCTTTAAAACTGTTATTTCTATATAAATATTTATCTTAATGCAATTGGCTGTTCTTTGTGGTATGCTATTGACTTATGACTTTTCCTGACCCTTAATTCGGGTATCTCCAAGACAGTTATTTTAAAAGCGCAGTAATAATGTCAGATAGGAAAAAAATGGTAACAAATGTAAATGTCAAGGTCATGTAATCAATCTAATAAATAATTTCATCCTTCCCTCTGGATAAAAATGATGACTGGGGACACACTACTGTAAGAGGTGTTATCCTTCCAAAACAACGTTGTATCTAGGTCTAGATAGTTATATCTCTGTTTGGTCCTTGGTCCTTTTTGGAAGACTAGTGGTGCCGACCTTAATGTCCACCCTAAATTCCACTCAGGGTGTATACAGTCTGGCCTTTCTACAGTTCCTCCTTTATTCAATGGGTAAAGCGCTTTCTCGCTTCTCCTATTGAGATGCTGTGTAGTGGCTGCTGGCATATAAGGGCTGTCAGTTGGAGCTGCGCTTCACAGGTGGATGAGTTGGGTACCTTTCTGGGTTCTTTTTGAGGTGCAAAACACAATATAAATTTAACAGAGTATTACGATACTTGATTTAAAACATTAGGCCACTACTAGAGTGCAGAATTGCTCTTATTATAGTTACAAATCTTGTCTGGATTTATTGGCATATTTGTCTCTGTGGCGTCTGTAAATGTTCTAATGGACTCCGCTTTCTTGTAGTTCAGGTGGGTAGCTGTGTCAGCGTGTGTAGGCTGCAAAGGAACAAGTAATAGGTTTATTCCATGCTGAAAAGAGAAGAAAGAAAACACAACGCTTCGGCCATGGAGCCTTATTCAGGTGTGTCAGGCTCCATGGCTGAAACGTTGTGTTCTCAGCATGGAAGAAACCTATTACCGCTTTCTTGTATCTAAGTGACTTGAGTAGGAAAGCCAATGGTGATACCTCAAATTTATACATGTATAAACATTACTATAGCCACCATCTTTTAGTTATATATCTGTAATTGTTATACATTTGTTAAAAGTATTAAAGCTAGACCACCATGTTCAGCACATTTATATTTTGCATTTGTATTTATGCAGAAACATCAAAAAAATAATTTTTTTTAATGCGTGAAAGAACTTGGTTGGCACTACTGTTTGACTTCATGTGTAATTTCTAGTTTGTCTTCTTTTTATTGCTGAAGATCATGCACCTGCTAACTGTTTTTTCACAGTTACATGGTAGATGCTGCTGACCGTGAAAAAATAGAGGCATCAAGAAATGAGCTTCACAATCTGCTAGACAAGCCACAGTTACAAGGCATCCCTGTAAGTAAGCCTGTCTTTCCAGATGGAAGGTGCATTTATTGCACCATTGTATTACAAGTACGTCTCAGAACAACTGGAGCAAAAGTTACAAGATGCACCTATATAGCTAATTTAATCACATGATTTCAATAGGCAGAATGAATGTCATTTGCTTACTGAATTGGCTCACCCCAGAGGTAACTACATCACAGATGTTTTGAACAAAGCTTGTCACATAGCAACCAGTAGGAGCAGTAGGACCAGCTTGAAAAGAAGTGAGGAAGTTCAGCTGGGGTTTTAAGACAGCAGGTCTACAGGCAAGATGGGCTACTTCATCTGTTTTTGTAAATGGCAACAACACGGGTTCTAATAGCCATGCTCTTGCAAGAAAAAGCAAAAATGTTCACCTGTTCCTGAATTTATATCCAAGAACAAAAGGTTTAGCATATAAAATAAATTGGGAAGCCTTATTGTTTCTCAAAGCATTTTGATTGTGACTTAGGAGCCTGATCTTACCCAAGCCAAGTTGGGTAAATGACTTGACATATCGGTTGAACCTAACAGGTTACAGTAATGAAAAATTACATCAGTTCCTGCAGAGAATATAGTGGCATCTCTTGATCTTAGTAATTCTAATACGCAGATTTGGTTATGGGGATGGCTGTCTTATTTTAGGTATCGGAAGACTATACATTTTCATCTGCAGATAATGAATCGGCTGAATTATTATTGCTGTCTGCAGAGTGTGTGAGTTACAAACAAGAGGAGATGATTCAACTCATCAGGCTCATTTGGTTGCTAGGAGCTTATTGATCCAAGGATCAGTCTTCCAGTCTTCTAGCTGTGTCCTCACACACCCTTGCTCCATTGCCAAGTATAGATTTATCCATTGGGTTGACTTTGTATGCCTGCGGATTTTGAATACTTCTATTATGAACACTTTTGATCTCCTCTTTTAAATGTTAACAAAGCAGTGAATTACACTCTTAGACCTAGAATTATTTTTATTGCCTTTGAAGTGTTAAAAATACCAGTTTTATGGAGTGATCAATGTAAATCAGCCATTTTATTCTTTCACGTTTTGGGGTTTTGTATTTCTTAGGTTCTAGTGCTTGGAAACAAGAGGGATCTTCCCAGTGCTTTGGATGAGAAGCAGCTTATTGAAAAAATGTAAGTAGAACCTGTAATATTTAAAGTATTCTAGGAACTGTGGTATGGTAAGCTTTTAAGCTCTCCTGCAGTCCTGCAGTATGTTCTGAGTTTTTGTTTTATAGTCAGAAGTTCGTTAGATGTAAAAAAACAAAGATTGTATTATGGCCTGCTAATGCTTGGTCCAAGCCCTGGGACTTTATCTGCTGCCCTCCTTGTGGGTTATCCTGACTTGACAATGTACATCCTCGTACTTCTCATTTGCCAACGGCTTTTGGCAGTCATTGGCAAATGAGAAGCAAGACGATGTGAATGTGACACATAGGCTGTTAAAAGCCTACTTGCCAGACCTGAACACCACTGAACATTTGTGGGTCGAGTGGGGGTGACATTTAACCTCTAGGCCTCGGCGGGCAATGAATAGGTACAAGTTTTTCCATGTTGTACAAGAGGAATAGTAGAAAATCCACAAAATGGCATCTAATCCATAATCTAGAGCAAAGCATGTATTGCAGACATACAGCTTTTATTGCTTACAAAGGTGACCATGCAAGTTGTTTGCCTGTGATTTTCATAGTAGGTAACCTGTTGATGACAAATGGTAATCGTAATGAATTTACTTGTTAGTACAGCAAAATTATAGTACATCTGCATAGTACATAGTACATCTTTTTCCTGGTCATTATGTATACAAAGCATAGCCTTTGATACACTGCATAGTTTTTTATGTAGTTTGTTGTCTGTTGTCATGATTGAAGTGCATTTTGACACTAAAATTCTTTGTTTATATTAATATTGCAAAAGTGCTGTAGTACAAAAAGTTAAATATTGCATGATCACTAAACCTGATATTATTTATCTGTCTTGTATTAGAACAGAGTCTTGTTTAGAGCATTTTTGTACCAAAAACTTTTGATTTCTTCCTGCAGGAATTTAGCAGCCATTCAGGACAGAGAGATTTGCTGCTACTCAATTTCTTGCAAAGAAAAGGACAACATAGGTAAGGAAGAAAGTGTCAGTGAGGAGAGTAATATAAAAAGAGTGAAACACATGAATATGTTACTGGAAATGGTTTAAAAAAATAGGAGAATGAGGGATTTAGTCCTGAATCTGCTGAACTCTTATTTTGATCAGCTTAGTAAATATTTGTTCTCTATAACAGATGAGTGTTTAGGCAGCACAAAATCTAGATGAATGCTACAACTGTTGTAACCTAATCAGTTTACCATGGCTTTGAAATTTATTTTGATATAGCTAATGTAATGTAAATGAGATCCTTGTTATATTGCTTTATTTGTCCAATGGTTTTTAAACATTGAGGTGCCTCATTAACCTGATAATGGTATAAGGCATCTGTACAGTATATTGTAGTATTGTCCTAAGACTTGCAATAATGCATCGGTTATGAAATCGTATTTATAGTCATGCCTCAGATGTCATCAGGTGGTAATGCTAACAGCTCCTGTGTAATGCTGACTCCAGATGTTTCCTGACTCCACAGATATCACACTGCAGTGGCTTATCCAGCACTCAAAGTCCCGGAGGAGCTGAGGCTGAAGACCCCTGCCCTTGTCCTGTTGGCCATATCAGTTCCAAAATGCCCCGCTCACTCTGTGATGACGTAATCCTTTTTCACACCACAGTCTCCCTTGTAGCCCAGTTCTTAATTTCCTTCACAGTCCATTTTGTGCACTGCTAATGATGTGTAACCTCCAGTAACAAAAAAAAAACAGCTTAAAGTACTAGAGTTGTCATGATACTGTAAGTAAAGCTTTAGAACTGTTAGAAGCTGGGAAATGCAGATCAGCCCAGAATGTCATATGCCTTTGAAATGCCAAATCACAGGTCCTTTTTTATTTTCCAAATAAGCCTGTGGACTAAGATCCTTGTTCTGCAGCAGGTTTTTTTTGTACAAGTAGATCATGTTACCGTCTGTCATATTTGTTTTGTAAATAGGTTGACGTTTATCCACTATATCTGTCAGCCAAAATGGGCAGTTCGTCTGTTTTGTTGAATATTGGTGTTTAAATGTGATTCTACCAGTTTTATGTTAATCATGTTTTGTTAGGTTGTACACATTTTATGAATTTTGCCTTTGGCTTAAAGAAATTCTTTATCCCTACAAGTAATCAAAATGTGACCTTATTTTATTGTAGTCAGAAGTCCTCAGACTGTAGCAACTCTATGGACTAAGTAAACAGGGAGAGGAATATCATGCAGTTTAGTTTACTTTAATGAGCATATATTTAAGAGTCTGAATGTAATAAATTCAAAGGTAAAGCTGTACGTAATTGTGGGGTCTTGTACCAAGAGTCCTGTCTGTACTTTTCCAGTGTCAGGTGAAACCTGCAATGCTGTTTCTGTCTACGGAGTGGTCTGCAGAGTTGAAAGTGCCTTCTGCAATAGCTCTGACTACTGGACCAAAACAGCATTTAAACATGGAATTGTGTGTGGGGTAGGAAAAGAAAAGGAAAACATAAAAGCTGATAAAGTACAATAAAAAGCATGCTTTTTAACCTGGATGATTGTAACTTGATGTACTTATGATGCTTGACTGGTAAAATTCACTGTGGTTCTGTATTTGAAGCAGTTAAGATATTGTGACAACTCTAGACATTCCCTTACCTTATTTAATGCACTTGTGTAAATATGCTAAAAATGTATGATAAAATGTTGAAGACAGTAATGTAAAAGCACAAGGAGGAGTCAATGAAATGATGCTAATTGTTGCTTTGCTTATGTAAAAAAATGGAGCATGTGCTCCTGTAGTTCTCATGACACATTTTGCACCTTTTTTTAAACTAGAGCAAGATGCCAGCAACTGAATGAAGGACTAATGTTCACTTTTTCAGGACTTTCACAGCAGTTTGCATGCTGTTCCAATGATTGTTTAAAGTGGTTTTCATCTAACCTGGAAAACACTGTGTGTTATTCCCCTTTTGTTTCTTTCAGAATGTGATTTAGGAAATTCTGGTGGAAAAGGGTGCCATATAATGCCTTGTTGCCTCCAGATTAGTTAGGTTGACCAAACAGCCATGTTTTATCAAGTAATCTCATTCACAAATTGCCTTACTGAAAAAGAGTTCATGTAGCAGGTTTAATCTGTCACTCAGACAATTTGGTGCCCTTCTTCAAGACGTCCATTGGCAAACTAGAAGACGAGTAGTAATCCAATGGCAAATTAATACATTTCGTCACTCAATTCTGATTAGACTATTTAGGCTCTAGCTCTGTATGAATTGGTCGCACAATTAAATATCGACCACTTTATGGCTATCCTGCAGATATTCTGTATGAAGCCTTACATCTATTTGCATTTATATTTTTATTTGACTGCTGGTGCCTCCCAAACTCTTTGCACTTTTGATTTAGTATGCACATCCTTTTCTTTTAGAGAAAAATAATAGAAAGGTAATGCTTAAACATTGGCCCTTTTTACAGAGCTTTTCTGGGTGGGACGCCCCATCAGAGAAACTAGAAGCACGATCAGGTTGCATTTGCAATCTGTTCCTTTGTCAGTTAAAAGTTAAAAGCTTTGCAGAAGTAGGTGATATATTACTGCCCCCGGTGACCTAAACTTTACATGAGTGTCTAGAGAAGTCACTTCAGCACGAAATGTTGCTTTGAGAGTGGGGCAGCTTATTTCCTTATTTAATTTGTGATCAGAACTATTAACAGATTTATGGCACAACTCTGCAGATCTATTCTATGAAGTATTTGTTTTGTGGTTTTCTGAGCTATTAAGATGCTTACAGTTACATCAGAATCAAGGACAGAATTGGCTCTGAACCTTGTTAGATGAATTTTCTCCATTAAATCTACCTCGAGGCAAGTTCGGCACTAAAATGTGAATTTTCCCTTTTAATTAGTTTCACCTACACAAGACATCTATGAAACTTTATAAGCCATTTGTTGTGCGTGGCATGTAAGAAGTTTTGTATTTTTGAAAATCATTTAAGCAATTAACATTTGGATGTAAAGAAAATTGATCAACTAAATTGCATTGGGTGTTATTTGATATAAACCTTATCATTTTTTTAAAGATTGATATAATACAAATTAATACCGAACTTTTAATGGGTATCAAGCTTGAGTGCCACAAAAGCCTTCATTTTAACCGTTAATGTGAACTGGCTCATACTGTAAACCATTTTTTTTTCCTTTTCCCAACTTCAGAGTCTTGATCTTTGGTATCAGATGCAGTTGGGTCTGCAAGGCAGAAGTTGAGAAGAGGAATTGTAAATGGAGGGATGCCTAGCCAATTCTGTTCAGACACATGGGAGATTTCCACCTTAGCCACAAGAAAGGGGAAGATCAGGAATGACACTCTCAAAATCTACTACTGTAATTGTATAAATCAATCATGTAATTGCTTGGCCATTAGAAACTTTCTGAAAGTATGTCAAACATAAAGGAAGTAGCTTAGAAAAGCTTTCATTTGAACGAATAATATACATGTATAGATGCCCATAAATTGGAAATGTATATCTTACACCCTAAATCCTCCATTTGCCCTCAGAACATGTACTACACATTTTAACGATATCGCCAGATTGCAACGAGGCTGGCTTTGAGGAAGCCAGATTTACTTATTGGAAACCAAAACAAAATTACATTATCACACTGGGACACCTAGCCATCTACCTTTGAGTACTTGTTTGGCCATAGTTACATCGTTCTACAAGTTATTTAAAGTAGCACAGAGAGAGAAAGCACATGCTTTCCTTCATCACGTCATGTTCTTTTGACAAAGTGTTAACTTCAAGGGAACTGAAAGAAAATTGGGGATGAGGAATTCAATGGAGATTTTACTGCCTTGCCATAATAAACACAGACTTGTTCGCCACTGTTCTTTTGACTAGTTTGAGCATGTCGCCCAGCACTCTGTACTGGTTGTAGGTGCTTTTGCATTACTCAGCAGTTATAGCTTCTTCAAACTGCTTTCTGCAGTTACAGTGGCAAGGATTTTCTTTATCTTTTCTCGTATTTGTGCAGCATTGTGCCTAATTAGACAGAACATGGATGTTAATATGCTTTATGTGGGGACCAGGTCACTATTTAAATATTTAATCAGGGGTGTAGGTAAAGCTAATGTATTTGTTGTGTTGATATACTAACTGCTTTCAGCATTTTATGGCATTCAGACACTATTATGAAAAGAAAGATGTGTTTTTCCCTGTGCATTAAAAATTGCATGTGTAAACAGAATCATTCAATTACAGACTTTGTAAATAAGAAAAAAAAAACAACCTTTTTATTCAGGTGAATGCTCTCTTCTGTGTTTCTTGCATACGTTTCTTTTCCTTAGTGACTGCTATAATAAATTGAATGTTGAGGGTGATTTATATGAATAGTAAGACAAACATTTCTTACTATTGTCTGCACTTACGTGGTGTTGGTTGAAGTTGATATTTAAAATAATGGAGGTTATTGCAATTATTTATTTTCTTACTTTACTAGTGGTTTTTTCATTAGTACATGCACCCAAAAGCTCAGCTAACAACATTAGTGATCTATTCTAATGAATAAAAAAACATATGGACAAGAATTAAAAAAGACATAAGTATTGCTATGCATATAGAAGATGTTCATTTTGTAAAGGAGTAATGCACAATATATTTAACCAATGTAGCGCCCATTAGTAGGATGGGTGTAAACCAATAATATACAAACAAGTGTTAGTTCTATTGTATGACAATATGATTGTTGGGATAGTCTGCAAGGATTTAGGAAAGACCTGTTAAAATAGGAGAAAGCTTTTGATATTTAATTAATTAGATTAATTCTTAAACTAGAAACATTAGGTATCAAGGCAGTTCATGGATTTGGTTATTGGAAACAATAGGGAGGGAACTCTCAAAAGGTTTTTCTAATTAGTGGAGTACCATGGAGATCTATATTGGGACTCTGATCCTAATTTCTTTTGATGTAGATTATTGTATAGTTAGTAAACTATATTTTGTATAATTAGTCAAATTCCCGGAGTACGCCAAAATAGGAGGATTACTAAACACTCTGAAAATTTTAAGGAAAACTTAAATCAGACTTTGACAAAATTTGGGACTGGGCACACACTTGATTAAAGTTTATTGTTGACAAGTGCAGAGTATTACATGAAGGATCAGAAACAGAAATTAGATCTAATTGGGAAAACAATGAGTTGAGGGAAATGCATTTAAAGAATATGGGAAGACAGTGTTAGGATATGGTGTTACAATTGTGTTGATTGCAGCAAACTGATATTAAAATTTTTAATGCACTAATATTTATAATACAGTGTGCAATATTGGTCTCCACACAAAAAAAAAACGGCACTGCTGCTCTGGAATCCGACGAAAAGAGAGCAACCAGTACCATTTTTGGACATCACAACCGTAAAACGCGAACCAGAAAACAGAATTGGGATAAATTCGTTTACAATCTACAATACCATCACCTCGAGATAAAAATATACAATTTTATATATGTTAGAAACAGTATTTGAAATGTTTTTCACTTTGTGCTTTAACAGGTGATCGTACAGTAAAGTACCTCCACCTTTGTACTGAGAAATGTTTTAATTATGAAACAGGGTGCAGAATGCGGATAAACTAGTTCAACGAGTGTCATTCTAACTTCCTTCGGAAATAAATGTATAACTTCCGATTGAGGTTGAAAGAGTAAAGTAAAACTGTCGGAATAACTCTCAGTAATTTATCAACACAAAAAGGACATTGGCCATCTCCATGTGAAGCCGTACGAAGCTGGATTTTCCTAATGCTGAACAAAAGTAAATGTCTCAAGGAATGGTCACTTGTATTTATGAAAAATATTTTTATTTCAATGTTTCTGACATTTCGAGACACATTTAACCTCGTGGTTTACATTATTCCCTAAGATTATAAAATAACACAACATGTAGATAATGAAAATGATAGTCTCCGCTATGTCTCTACTGTCAATATCAATGGCCTTGATCGACGGGGTAATTACAAAAAAGTTCCTATGTAGAAACTCTCACTCTTCTACGTAATTTCTGTTACTATTCCTCCGCACTTAAATGTCATTTCTGGATTTATTGCTGATCGTCTTTAAATTATGAGACGAAAACCATCTAGTTGTAAATGTTCTTAAAAATAATCGTGCGCAATGAGGTACATTTAAGAAAATACTACATTGCATTAATCTGCATGCTCCCAAAAGCATAGACGTAATCGCGTTGTTTTGCTTTTTTTGCTTTTACTTGTGGCTGCCTAATTGGCTTAAGAAATTTACTGAATGAGGAGCTTGCCACGACACCGCAGCCAGACACGCCTGTCTGAGACAGACGGCTGGCAGGCCCAATCCCCGAGCCTCGTGTGGTGGCCGTGCCCGGGAGACCAGCCCTATGGAACGCCAATCGGATGCCAGAAGGGGGGCAGGTTCACCTTGTTGACAGGAACACGGCTGAGAGAGACTGCGGGGCGAAGGGGAAGTAAAAGGACGATCAAACTTTCTGTTTCTTAAAAACAGCCGTATGTGAAGTATGGTTTTCAAGGCCGTGCCGGGGCAAAAATGCAATGGAGGTCGATAGTGCTTGGTCTGCTCTTGTTAAGACTGGCCTTAAGCTTTGTCCTTTGGTTAGCGTTTGGGTTGGGACCTAGTTGGGGGTTTTATCAAAGCTTTCCTATAAATTTCCACTTCAACGTGCAAAAAATAGACCTTTTCAAAGAGAACGAGAAGGCGAATGCACGGAGTAACACCTGGCTTAATCAGGGACTTGAGAATGGGGCTGAACACGGTGGATCCTGCCCCAGGAATAGTGAATGCGACCGAGGAAACTCTTATCTCAATTTCTTTGAGGACGGTAGGGATGAGTACGCGAGGAAATACAACACATTCCCAGAGACTCTTAAGGCAAAGATGAAGGGTATGGCTAAAGAAATGTTCTACTTTGGATATGAAAATTACATGAAATACGCGTTTCCCAAAGACGAACTAAATCCCATTGACTGCCAAGGAAGAGGACCCGATGTTCTTAACCCGTAAGTTTAGCTACGTCTTTCTCTTTACTTAATCTCAGTAATTAATTTTCATTATTTACTGCACCATAGTCCAAGCAGTGGTTCCACTCAGGGGTGATGCATAAGTAGGTAACCGTTCTCCGTGAATACCTGGGAACAAGTCATTTGCGTATGTTACTGTTGTCTTTCAGTCCGAGTGTTTTCCTACACAACTGCTTTTAAGCTTCGCCAGTGCAATTTTAAGTTGTTGCTAGAATAACTTTTCTCTCAGGTCATCGTGACAAACGTAGATGATAACCAGCTAGGTGGGGAGTTTAGTCAAATATGTGGATCAAAAACCGAAGAGATGGTCCCTGTTGTTTGAGACGATTCAGTTCTTGTTACTACAATTCGTAATAGGACTCAATGCTATTAATCATGGAAATACAGTAACCGGTACTCTCTTTTGTTGTTACTTTACTGTAGCTACTCAGCTAGGCCTTTAATCAGTAGGTTTTCCAGTATTTAAAGTTTAAACTCGGACAACCTTTGTATGCTTCTAGACCTACTACATTTATTATATTGGAATGTGTCGGTTTATTCAGTGTTGAGCCATATCCTGGACGGTGTACAGTCCGGGCGAGCTATTTGTTCACAAAAAACGTTACAGATGGACTTTTTTACGTAGTATTCACAAGCACTAAAAACTAAAGTCGACTTATAAAACCATTAACTGATGAACCTTTAGATCTTTGACATTCACGCCGTATTTTAGCATTACTGCTTGCAACGTGTTCATTTGAATAGAACATTGGTTTTAAAAAGGGATCTCTTGCTGCCACAGTTGCTATTTCAGGATTAGCAAAAATAAATCTAAAAAAGGGATATATTGTTTCTGTTGATATCAATCTGGTCTGTAACAGGGGAGTTCGATTTAAATTTATATACAGTACATGAAATGCTGTTTAATTATTGGTTAAGTTTTCCATTGTATTTGCTCTCTGAAAATAAGCCCTGTATTGTTAGTGGTGCTTAGTTATTCGTTCTGCACCAGATATTTCCACAATTTTGTTTCCTGAAAGTTTTTTTTTTATATTTAGTAACTTATAACGTTTATCTTGTTATATAATGTGTTACTAAAATGCTGTAAGTCTTTAAATGAGCGTCTTTATGGAGTGTTTCAAGCTTGATTCAAGATATGACATTTATTTTGTAGCGCTCTCGGGTTCACATGGGTATGCGCCCTCACCGCTGCCACAATTTACTAGTAACATTCTTTAATCCCACAAGTTTTATAGAGATCTTGTTTTTCCAGGTCCAACATCAATATCAACGATGTCTTAGGAAACTATTCATTGACGCTCATTGACACGCTTGATACACTGTTGGTAAGTATTCCACGTTTCGCTGACAAAAGTGTAGATCCATTGATACAGAGATACCATATGTCTTGTATGGGGTTTCAGTGAACTATACTCTTACTATATCAGTCAGGTCTATAAACAAATAGGGTACAGAGAACAATACTTGATTTTCCAGTAATGTCATTTACAGGTTAAAGAAAATGAATCTTTTTCTTTTGAACAGAGTATTCAGACTGGCGAAGGTATGGGCAAAGTAAATCTAGTGGATAACGTCATACTCCACAATTAGTGTTTAACTTGAGTACTGTGTTCAGGTTTGGTCACAATACCTCAGAGCAGATATTATTCGCTTGGAAAGAGCTCAGTGGAGAGCAACTAAAGTTATTCCTGGTCTCAGGGAGACTGTTGCATACAGACAGGTTAAGAATCTTAAATCTGTACCTTGTAGAATAGAGGAGATTTGATATGGTTATACAGTACACAGTTCTAAGGGGGTCAACAGTTCAGCCAACTGTGCTTTTTCACAATCAGCAGTGAAACAAGGACATGTGGTGACAATTGGAAACTTAAGGGGAATTCACTTAGGACAGAGAATAGGCAACCCTTCCTTACTCAGAGAGCTGTGGGTATCTGGAATTGGTTTCCCAGCCAGATACGGTAGTTTAGATTCAACCTCGGGGCACCTTAAAGAAATACCTCTCCAAAATTTTAGATTTACTTGGTTACTAAACTACCAAATGACACCATGGTTTGCAGACCTTTGTTTTTCTGAAGTAAGGGTGCAAGCAGTAAACCAAGAAGTGCCTGCAGCATTGGAAGTAAGTGGCACTTCTTTACACAAGTTGTCTGGAGTTAACTACCAGTACATTGGTGATTCCTTGGGACCTTGCAAGATCTCTCGAGTAACTGCTGGATTCAATCCTTGGATCAACAAGCTGAGAGTTTTCAGTTGGGCGTACAAACGTCTCTTATTTTTCACCCCCTCTAATGTTCTTGCCCACTTCCTTTGTCCTGGAATTGATATAGCGTGAGAACATAAAGTTTATGCATGAGATCAAAGTCTGTTCAGCTCATGAGGTTAATCTGGCAACAAGTAGCTTAATAATTCAAGAACTTCATCAAGGAGCCCAGAGTGTCAGCTTCAACAGCCGGGTTAGGAAGTGTATTTCGGATTTCTATGATACTTCAGGTGGAACTTCACCTGTTTTCCTTCTGAATGCTACTTTTTGGAACTTTTTTAGTACTCTTGCTTGGCTGCATCCGTTGCTGGTGATATGTAATTTTCTCTAAAAATAAAACATTTGTTCAGTTACCCTAATCTGAATATTACAGTTTCTTCAGACCAGGAATTAAATCTGGTTGCTCTCCTTTATAATGTCTTCACATCCGCAATATAGTGCTTGTACCATAGTGCCCAAATGTGAAAAATCTGACCAAAGTGTTCTAAATGATGTTGAGGCAATTCAATGTTCAATTCACACAAGTGTCTCCTGATCTCGCTTAAATCTTCTATCGCTGTGAGAAAATAATTTATCTATGATGTTGAGCTCAACCCACAGAATCCGTGTGTACTTGTTGTGTGACAGCTTGTATATTAGACAACCATAGCATGGATTCTTGAGACTGGAAGCTCTGATTGAATTAATCTTCAGTCATTACTTTATATTCTCGTTGAAGTTCATGCAGGTTTTGGAAGGCATTGCCAAATTCTATATACTGTATTTCTAATGCAGGTGTGCCTCAGCCTTATCTTTTTAATGCTGTACTTGGCAACCTAACTGCTGTACATATGTACTGTGGTGCTTCCGGTGTTTGTTGCTTTTGTGACTGTGGTAGATAATTAGCAAGCAGCTGCAAGTGTGGGCCTGTGGCAGAAAACACCTCATCCCATCACTGTTACACTGCTCATGCCATCACCTACCATGTCTTTACAGAGTGTGCAGTACCCAGGTCTCCTGTGCTCATCATTCCCTCTTGCTTTCGTCCAGACTGCATGTCCTGTCTATAGTGGGCATTGCATAACTGCAACATGGTCTTTTAATTGAGTTCTTGTTTTGTCTTGGGGTTTGCGTTGCAGTTGGAAGAAATATCCCCTGTCATAATATGCCTAGATTAACTCTCGGAAACAAACCTTTAGAGTTGAAAGCCACCCGTGCGTTTGAAAGTTAACGACCCCCTCTTATTTAGCTACATCATTCTTAGAATGACGTCTCTTGTTCTTCCGCTCTTGGTTGGTTAGCTCAAGACTTTATGCGAACGTGCTGGGTTAAAAGTGGGACTCAGTCAACTGTAAATGAACACCTGCTTTAAGTAAAAGCTGTAAGAAGGGATCCTGGTGAAGTGTTGTTTGCACCATTTTCTTTATTTTTGCATTTCATGATAAGTCTCAGATAGTCTCAGATAGTTGGAACACAATACCAATGTGTAGCACTCGAGAGCGAGTCCTACAGGACTCCCTGTTTTGGTTTACATCCTGATGAATCACTGTGAGAATTAAAAAATGAAACAGTTATTTGCAAAATATTTAATCCACAAGTGGTTAGCAGTCCTGAGGCTAAGAGCTCTGGGGTCCTGGGTTTGATTCCAGATTGGGGTACCCTTTGTGTGGAGTTTGCATGTTTTCCTTGGGTTTACATGGATTTTTCCTGAGTGCCCTGGTTTCCTCTACACTTAATTGGTGCCTTTAAACTGTCGCTATGTGTGCATGGGTGTCTTTTATTTGTACTGGTGTCCCATCCAGGGTATCGTCTTGCTATGCACTGTATGTTTCCTGGACAGACTTCAGATGACTACAGACCTGGTATTGCTGATATTTGGGGAAAAAACAATACCGGGAATAAGCAGGTTTCTTATAATGGATGTGTTTTTATTCCAAACTCGAAATGCTATTTTGTATTCTTCAGTGGTATTCACTTTGCCCTTTGCTTTATACAGCTGTTTCACCTTTCAAATTTTAAATAAAGGCATAAGAGGATTACATCCAGTGAAAACTGTCACCTATTAAGCTTTTACAGTGGAAACCCCTACCATACTAGATATACAGGAAGTAGTTAAACTCTTTAATGAAAGCAGAAAATCTTGGTTTACAATATACAGTTAAATACTGTGCTTCTAAAATGTTTGTAAAATCACTTTGGATATGTAGAATAATAATTTTATAAATTATTCATTCAGGAACACTTTGGTCCTGTAGAATAATTAGGCTGCTTGGGCTTAGTATTTTATTTCTTTAGAGCAGCAATAACCTAGCAAATACACATTTAACAAGGAAATAAATATATTTCTCAGGCCTGCAGTAAAGTAAGAGTTTAGTTTTTGCCTAACTTTATGTATGCTTTTCAAAGTTTACGGTCTGTTTGTCACTTCTTTCCCAGGTATTGGGGAATGTTTCAGAGTTTCACAGAGCTGTCAAACTTGTGATTGATACGGTCTCCTTTGACAAAGACTCCACTGTTCAGGTGTTTGAGGCTAATATCAGGTGGGTAACATTTTCTATTCATTAGTTCTCAGTCCAATCACATGCATTACCTCGAATGTCTGCCACATGTAATTTAAAAATAACAGAACAATAAAGTCCCTAATAAACTGAATTGACAGTCAAGTGCTCTTATTGTATTAAGCTTTCTGCTGTTGCTCTACCTCCACAGCCTGTACATCTGTGAAGATCTATAGTGTCTTATTTCTTCTGCTTTCCCTGTAGAATATGCGCTGTGCACTCTGATAGAAGTGTATTCATTATGTTGGGCTGTATTTCATTGTTAATTTTTGTTATGCATGATACCAGTTCTACAGGAACATTCTTTCCCAGAATTCTTTGCTCAAGCACCACTGTACTGCTACTGCTCACTTGTCTTACCTGTTGTTTTTGAATTCCACTGATACCCGCTCAACCTTGGACTGTTTATTGTTTCTGCCTTGCTCTGCATAAACTTTAAGCTTTTACTGGCATTTGAGTGCACCCCGGTGTCCTGCAGTTTGTTTTGTGACTTTTGTTTTAGACGTTAAGAAAGCGGTAGAGCCGATACTCTACCATCTAGCTCAAACTTCACTTCTGCAGACAAAGCTGACATCACCTCATCAACTCTGCAGCCAGTGAGGACCTGCAGATATTTTCTGTCTGTCCAGGCATTTCTGAGCAAATCCCCTGTACACCTAGATTTTCAGTTTCCAATAACTGAACCTTCTAATTATGAACACTGAATTGTAATTAAGTTGATAATATACCACATACCTTACATAGCAAACTGAGGAATCCAGTCACCTCGCCTTCTTGAGCATGCATGGACTTTCAGAAACAGATTGCCACAAGTTTCCCTGTGCAGTCTGCAAAGACCTCTTGGAAAGGCACCCACTTCACACTGTAGAAAGTCCAGAGACCCTCAAGCTGCTCCACCGATTTAAACCTTCCGGATCTTCCCTTGATCTCCTTGCTGCTGTGCTGTCTGCTCCTTCTGTTCTCACTCAGCCTGTGTGATCATCACACAATCTGCACCCTGTGCATGTGGCCAAAGCCATTATCTTTGCTCTCTGTGTGGATCCCAGAGTTTATTTTCTATTTCTGTCTGCTCTGGAGTCCTATCAGGATTGAGATCTGCATCTTGGAGAATTCTGTGAATTGACCATAGCTATGGCCAACTTTCGGGGCCCATTAGCTCTGCGCCAACAGTTTAGCCTCGTTCTTGACAGAGATTTCTTATCGAAGGCTCAGACAACAGGTATTCATTAATCTCTTTTGTTTTTCAATCTGGTGCCAAGCTTGGGCCCCAGCATCCATATTTATTTGACAGCTACCTGTGACGTTTGCTCCAAAAACATACTCCTGTGTGTTTGTGCATTTTTAGCTTTCTCCTTCTCACTAGTGCAGTTCTGTTTTTTTTTCTTATTTAAAACTTGTATGTCTTTGACGCCTTGTTTTGGTTGCCATCGGTGACAGCATTTTCAGGCAGCATAAAATTTGCAATCTACTTTAAATGCATTCAAATGGTTAAAAGTACACATGGGAAAACCACCAATGCAAATTATTCTGGTAGTACTCCAAGTTAACGGTCTTCAGTTCTTCACA